TCAGATCAGATTTAGGGACAAACTGTCGGATTGCATCATAGATGGAATTATCACCCTTTGGAATCCCAATCACTTAATGTGTTGGTAGCGGATTGAGACCACTGGTAAAGCGCACAATAGCAACTGTTGCAGGGATGATGAAAACGAATTGCAGACATTAAAAATAAACGAATGGAATTAATATGATACGCGCAATTAGTTAAGAGGATAAACTGAGCAGATTATAGCTTCAGTGGATTTATTGTGTCAAAATATTGAAAGTGTTCATCGATTGTGATCCATTGAATTGATAAATGGGTTTACCATATTCCGACAAGACTTACTCTAATGTTCTCGCTCCAGATGTTAGCTGAAGAAGAACAAGTGAAATCTTATGGCGTAACGCTTGTCCAATATTTTGTTGCAAATAAACCAAAAAGAACCGTAGCTTTCTAAGTTGGCCCGTGGTAATGTTTCATTCGTCGGTAAAAATAACATTCTGCAACTAATTCTCAGATTTAACGGCGTAATCAAGCTGTTGTCTTGCTCTGAACGGTCTAAGGGATTCATTTAGTGGGCCTCAGTTCCTCGGAATTACGGCAATGGTTTGGCGTAGTATTGAATTAGTGTTGGTTTGGAAGTTAATTTGTTGGAACAGCGACTAACAACACTTGGAAGAGCCAGATTTATGGGTGCATACATACATGGAAATTAACATGTAGTGGTGCCACAATAATAGAGTCTTGGCTTCCTCAGTAATTTTCCTAAAACCGCCAAAAGCAATGCATCAGTGAGATACGTTATATGCACGATGCTTTGTAGATTACAACCTGGAATATAGCGCATATTATGTTCTTTAATTAGGGCCATTTGACGTTTCTTACCAAGGTCGGTCCGTCTATAGAGTACAGTGAGCTCACGTTGGTCCGAAACGTCAGACGACCCTAATAACTGAGGAACATTTTATGCGTTCTCTTCCCCTTATGACTTGCCTCGTATTATCTCCCTCATAAAGAAAACGTACTCTGTTCTATAACGTTCTGTTAAACAGAATACGTATATATACAGCTCTTTAATACACAATATCTTGATCATGCGTCAGAAAAGAACATAATTAAAAATTCTGAATAAGCTTTTTCTGAATTTTTGGTTAAGGTATTGTATAATTAAGGATGGTCTTTAGACAATATAAATATACCCCTTATTTGACCACGTAGAGCTGTTTTCTTTCGAACGTAGCCTGCAAGTCAGAAACAGGTTACTGTAACAATTATGTAACCTCTTAATTTTGAACTTTCTGACAATTTAAGGCGATTTCTGGGGATATAATTTATGCTGTATTTTTTATATTCTCATTTGAATTATTGCAAATATATATTTGAGGAGGCTTTGTGGATGATATAGTTGTAACCTGTCATTGCGTATGGGGTTTTGTTGTTGCATTTATTATAATTCAAGCTAGACGAAGCTTCAGTAGCAAAATTGCCCTCTTTTGTAGAAACTTCCATAGTCTAAGTGGTAGCTAACATTTCATATTATCGTTACTGCAGCAAACATATTCCATGTTTAAAGCCGAATTCTTGTCAAATAGTTTCATATTTTTTCCTCTACTTTATCCCGAGGAAGTTTAAAGTTTAAGCAAATTAGACTAGTTTAATTGTAGCTTAAACCGCTTGTCTCCGGTAGTTTCAAATAATGTGCTACGGTTTTCAACAGCTTCTCATTCGAAACCTGGTTGTACCCTTTCGAAATTTTTTGCTCGTTTGAATGAAGCAACAATAAACTCAATTTTTTCTGTGTTGTACAATCACCATTTCTTGGAAACGATTACAATAATCAATTTATTACTGAATCCAGTTCGAAAAGACATCAGCGGGAATGCAATATCTTCGTAAATGCTTCCCTAAAACGACGGTATTTCACAGATTGATCGGTGGAAACAAATTAGTACACATAAAGGGGATTAGTCGAAAAGAAAGTAATTACTTGAACAGCTGTTTACTGTCCTTACTTAATGTTGCTAAATGAATTTCAATACAGCGGCCGTCTTTTAGAGAAACTGATAACTTGACATCGTGTTTCGGCACAAAGGAATGGACTGTTTTCGTACTTTTGAGATTAGTTACGTTTGGAGCAGTGTCTGCAATCATTGAGTTGGTGGCTTGAAATTGATGGTGTTCTTAAAGCTTCTTTTGTTTTCTTTTTGTCATCTGAAGTTAACAGAGATTAAATTGCTGAGAAAACCTGATTTATGTAGTCTGACCGTTAAAATCATGTTCATACAAACGACGGTTGTTAATTTATTAATAAGGTTAACAATAAGTGACGTATAACCCGTGAAAAATCGGATTTCGCCGCATACTGCACTGCCGAATGTTATTGAAGCACCCGCAGTGTGAGATGCCTCTCTCGTCATTTGGTTCGATATTGGCTCAACAGCCTCACCCTCCTCCGAAGCTGGTACTCCTTATACTCTATCGCATGATGTCCGTATCCCAAGTTTGGCAAATAGCGAATGATTCATCCAAGGTTAGACTTCATCTGGTTAACATTATTAATTAATTCATCCACTCAGACATTTATTCCATCATAATTCCTATATTTTTTTCGTATGAATTTTGGAAACGCATTATCAATGTGTAGCTTTAGGCTGTAACAGTACTGCAGAGAAATTTGCGACACTGTACTTTTTCAGGATCACTGTTAAGCTAGCAGAGCGGAAATTCAGTGACATAATGGTCTAAGTAATTGATCCGTAGTTGCTTAAGAAGGCCATTTAGGCAGGCTACGGCTCTACGGTCATTGAGAATCTACACTGGCAGATTCACTTGTCACATTTTATCACGAACGTCATGTTCCAAGAGTTTGTACGCCGGAGTAATGTTAAATGGCGTATAACTCCTCCAAACCAAAACCATTTCACGGCGTATTGTACCGCTCCATTGTTCTTATTTGCTCTTGTGGGGTGGGGGTGGGGGACTTTAAGCAAGCTACGGCTCTATGGTATTTGAGTAACTTCAGTATCAGATGCATCTCCCATCATCTTGTCTGCTGTAACCATATCGCGCTTATCAAGAAAGTTGTTTCAGGAACTGGTGCTCCTTATATTATACCGCATTAACATCATAACTCGCTCTTTTGCCAGAGTATGGCACCTAACTTCTCCAAAATCAGATTTCACGTCATATTTCACCGTCCTGTTGCTCGTAATTTCGCATTGGAACATTTAAACCGGCTGTATGTTGTTTGTTATTTATCAAGGCCAGTAAATAGCGGATCCCTTTATCATGCACTAAATGGTTCTGCTAGTTTGTAATCTTAATGTAGCAAATGAAGAATTCAATGAAGATGGGGATGACGGTAACGATAATGGGTCATTGTGATGATGAGGGTGATGAGAAGCAGAACGACGTCTGTAGCAGTGATGGTGGTGATAATAGGCAAACGATCATTCAGACGACGATAATAATCTCAATGAGGAAAACGATGTTGGTGCTAGCGATGGTAATGTTAGGGTAAGGAAGGCGACTACATTGATGATGAGGCCAGAGATGATGAGTGTCTCTGGATTCTGATGAAGATTTAACTGAGGACGAGGATGATGGCGGTGAGTAAGAAAAAGACAGAAAACCACGTTGTTTTCGACAGCAGTTATAGATCCTACCTGTTTTATTTTTTTTCGCATTTGTTAAATTTGTGCTTGTATCAGGTGTTTTGTGCGTTATCGCTATTGCTGTTTTAGAGTCAACACTGTTATCATAGAGCATGAATTCCGCGGTGCGGCGAACGCTTGCCAGAATAGTCCGAAGTTTCACCTGTTTGCGCTCTTATTCACCGAGTAGGTACTTTTTCAGTCAGTCTTGATTTGTACTTAGTATTTTCTCACGCTCTCCATAAATCCAAAATCGAAACTCGAACAACAACTTATGCATGTGATTTTATTTCCTGTTGAATCCGATAGAATAAGAGACTTGCAGTCTGGCCATCTCGCTTATCATTCAGTTAAACAAATAAGTATCTTTAACTGGAAGGAAAGAGCGAAACGACATTCCTTGTTTTGCTGTAGTGCTGCGCATATCGCCTCTACATTTAAGGCTAGAATGGAGATGAGTGTCTCGTTGTCAGCTCCGTTAAAAAGGGCTGACATTTTTTGATATTTATAGGTATCCTCGAAGTTTATGGGAAACCACCATGACCACATGGTCAATCAGTACGGATATTTCTGTCAGGTTCACAGCGGAGGATATTGTTTCTAGCCGTCATTAAATGCTTAATTAATTGTCACAAATCGCAAAACGGTCATATGACACTGATCATTTGACAGGTAATCTCCTGTATTGAATGTGATCTTTCACGTCGAGATTCGGATTACACATGCAAGTCAAAGGATTCATTTGCGCCGTCCATATTTGCTCTGAAGATAAGGCATTCTGTCGATCAATCAAAAAGCAGTTAATGACTGAATCATCGTTGATTTAAGTAATAGCCTTGAAATCGGCTAAAATAGTTGATTTTCAGAGATCTCTCTGTGTGAAAGAAGGCAGAATCTGACGGAAATGGCCTTCCTGATTATACAAAAAGTGAGGTATGCCAGAGCAAGTGCAGAGCATTAGAAACCGCATGGAAAAGTACTGTATCTGATGTTATAGTTGTTAAAATCTTACTTTTCTTAAAACAGTTTTTCATACTGAGCCCGCAGTTCACTGACAGATAGTTCTCTCGCTGTATAATCATTAACCCAAACGTAAAATGGAAAATTATTACTGACTTCTACACGTTTCATTAACAACGTCAGTGACATCATTAGAACTGAACAGATTCAATAACATTCAGTCCTGATTGTTTTACTGGTGTTGAAAACGAAACGCGTCGATTATTAACACTATTTTTCTGTTTCACGTTTTGTCCTTATCCATCCTGGAGGAGATAGCCCGTTAATGAACAGCTACCTACTAATGCCTAGTAAAAATTTCTCTTAAGGCTGTAGACTCTGTGAATGAAAAGTTAGAGTGAATTTTCCAATTTAGATGATTTATTAATTAATTCGATTTATTTATTTTCTGACCTCTCTGCAAGTCTCTATATTAAATTGTATTTCAAAGTAATCGTTTTCAGGAAACATTGGGCGGGTGGCGTTTTTAACCGGTGGCGCCTCTGCGACGTCATTTTTGGCATTCCGGTATTTTTCTAACCTGCCCAGATTCAAATCCATTACCCTTGGCATTCCGATCGCCAATGCTGAAAAAGTAATGTTTGTATATTTCGTACTCACACACGTTTCTAACCTTTTCGTCTTTTACATAGTGTACAGAATTTTTGACTTTATTAGACTCCTTTCAAGTACAGTAAACAGTAGTGTTGAATACAGTAGAGTAATGCGTCTACTTGCATATTACAACTTGTACAGTAATGCACAACAGTGTGCATTACTATATACTCTGCCAACGAACAGTTTCGTTGCTAAGCCTGAAAATAGTAAAATTTTTTTTGCCATGGAAGTTTCAGAACCCCGGTACGATGTTCTCCTGTTAGCATGAAAATAAAGTCACAGTTAATTTGACTTATCTTTGTCTTTATTGCTGTGCTTAAAACA